TGCGTACCACCTTCTGTGCAATTGGGGATCAGGGTACTCGTAGTTCACCTTTGAAAATTTTAAAACACAAGTGTGTTGTTTAATTTTAGGAGACGAGACATCATCATCATATCCGAGTAGAAGAACTTACTTACTATCCACAATTATGAAAAAGGAGAATTTGCATCATCTCAAAGTGGAGGATATAGCTTGGATTTTAAAATCAACAAAGCCTCACTCGACACCCAAGTGGAAACTATCTCACTTCACTATATATCGTAGAAGTATAGTAGCTCGCATCACTATAAGGATTTGACAAGAGTCTAATCTTTTGAGAAAATTTTAACGTAAAAAGCCGAAGTGGCCAAAATGGTTTGAATGAGGTTGATTGACTTTTAGTCTTCTCATAAAAAATGTCAAAGTATGATTAAGTTGGTTAAAGTTTGATTAATAAAATATTTTTGAAAATGCATGGACCTAAGTTCAAGTTTATTGTGAAAGTGGTTCAAAATAGAAAACAAGAAGAGTTTTGAAAATGAGGGAGAAGATTTTTGAAATTAAAGAAGATGGGAGGAGATGAAGGGACTATCCTAAATCATAAGGTAAAAGCTAGGGAAAAGAACCGTCTAACCAACAAGAAGCCAACACTTCACATAAAGAGTCAATATAGAATTCCCATCCTTTGGATTGAAACCAAGCAAGCGAAGATACTAAACCTCTTAAGAATACCAAGCTTCATATGCATTAAGTCTTCATAAAAATCGAGCAGAGTAACAGTTGTATACATAGGAATTCCCAATCACAGATAAAGTACACATAATCAGAACAACATGCACACAAAGAAAATCAACCCAATGTCTTGCGGTAAACCCCAAGAGCTTTAGACAAAATAACAACAGGGTCACAAGGTCCCAAGGGTAATCAAGGCTTCTAATCTTAAGTCCAAGAAATCCACAACTCCATAATGCCAAGGATAGTAACCAAATAGTCTGAGTAAACTTAAAGTTTTTATTGTTCAAGTTGATTATTAAGTGTTTTAAAAAAAGAAAAGAAAAGCTCAAGTGAGCAAAAATCAAAATAACATAAAGATAAGTGCTCAAGTGAGAAAAGATAAAATAACAAGGAATGTAAATGCTAAAATAAAAGTTGTGTAAAAGTAAAAGCATAAAGTAAAGGGGCATAAAGTAAAAAAAACACAAAGTAAAAGTCAATTGTTAGTGCATTAGAAGTTAGAGGTTAGTTGAATGACCATCTTAAAACTTGCATTTGAAAACTCATTAGAAGATTGATAAAATCCAAGCTTTTCAACAACAAGTTTCATTTGCTTTTATCAAGTATATCATTCATTTCAAGTTCTCGAGGTGACAACATATGATCAACGATGTTTAAATGATTCACTTAGACCAAAATTTATGATAGTTCATTAGAGGATTGATAAGACCAAAGCCTCCTAACAATGAACCTCAAGATTATTGGATCAAAGGTTTCAAATTAAACATCATTGGGCTTGGAAACATAGGTTTGGGCCACGAATAATCATTTCTCAAACCGGGACAAAATTTAGCGCTTTGTTAACCAATCACAAGTGGACTTATGTAGAAGTCGCACCTATTTTGAGGCCGGTCAATAGTAGTCTATGTACCATAGATTTAGAGAAATGATAAGTAGATCATTCTCCAACAACATGTAGCACAAGTAAGAAAGGGATAAAATGAAAAGGAAATGGATGTAATAAATGAAATTAGGGTTTCAAATATCATCAACATCATTCATCCATTTTGGTGGATTTGATTTTTCAACCTATCAACACCCAAGATCCAATGAGGTTGAGGAACTTGTCCATAAATAACACCCAAATCAGGACCAAACAGACAATATTAAAATAATATTTAGTAAAACAATATTTAAATGGTTAATAAAAGGAAAATAATTAGTAAAATACACAAGATATATTAAAACACCAAATAAAATTCTCAAAAAATAAAGTCATAAGTCAAACACGAGTTAATAAGTGTTAAAAAATTTTTTTTTTAATTTTTTAAAGTCAGAAGCTATTTTTAAAACTTAAAGAAATATGCAAAATAAATCAAAAAATTGTAAAATAGAGTAAAATCAGAAATAAAAATAAAATGAGGTCACTAATATTTGTCAGGAGGTCATTGGATCTTTCCATAATTTTTCCAGAATTAAAAATCACCAAAAAGTATTTTTAAACAATTAAAACAAATCAAAATAAAAGAAAACTTATAAAAAATATCAAATCATGAAATAAAATTATGAAAAATAAGAATCAGAAAGAAAATATTTGAAAATATTTTTGTGATTTTTTTCATAATTTTTGAGTAAGAAGTGAATATTTTATGAATTTTTGAAGTTTAAAACAATTAAATATAAAAATCAGAAATAAAAAATAAACTCAAAAAAATGTGGACCATCTGATCATTGTCAAAACGCGTTAGTAAGCTAGTCCAATAGATCATACGCGCTTGCATATCATGGTCTTCAGGAAATAACACACATGATCAATTATTAAACAGATTTGAAAAAAATACGTGGCAATTTGTCATTGGTTGAAGACAGACATGTATGTCATCTTCAACCTCTGTTCACGCGATTTATAAGTTCATGGAATAGAAAAATTGGAGCTCGAGGCTGGTGTCATTCACTTCGTCTCTTCAAGACGATTCCATTGGTACCCTCGCGCCAAATTTATATTTGTCATAGCTTAGTCGATTTGAATAAAACCAGGGGAGGTTTTTTGAAAAGGGATTTGAAAACAGACGTATCAAACTCAGTTATAGTTGAAAACAAAGGATACCATGAGCATCAGAGAACCAAATGCTACATTCTAGCAACAAAATTGAGACGAATTGGTGGAGAAAACTACTTGTTCGAACTCAAGGATGAAGCTCTGAAACTGGACTTATGGAGCTTGATTCAGGTCACGATTCTTAAAGATAAGAGTATGGTTAGCTTCAGAGAAGTTCAATGAAGCTAACTGAAAGGAGTTTTTGGTGATTTGAAGGGTGGAAATGGAAAAAACAAATTCAACCTTAAGAGTTTAAATAAGATCTTAGCATAGGTCAATTGGCTATCAAAAGCTTGTGGAAATGGATGGAATATGTCTCTTATTTACAGAAGAGGATGAGACAATGCTCAAACGTGTGAATGAGAGGATAAATTAGTGAATTCCTGTGAATTCGAAACATGAGCTATGTATGACTTGTTTGGCATCAAAACACAGCCAAAACTTGCATTTCAAGGTAGTAATTGCTTCTAGAAGGTTGTTAAACATGATTAGGAGCAAAAACGCGCAAGAATTTTTTGTTTAGAGGCCAAACCAATCGAAACTAAATCTGACTTTAAACTTATAATCAGTTTCAAGAAGCCAACTACACAGCCATGACGCCAACAATGTAGGGCACTATATGATGTGATTTTTGAAGCATTGGAGATATCTCATGTCAAGCTTTACAATGTGAAAAGAATGGTTGCATTTGGTGTCTTGGATCAAAAATCGTGTCTCTTTGAAATCAGCAAAAGCACACGGATTTTCCACACTTAGAAAAAATTCTAAGTTTGGCATTAAAAGTGACTTGTAATGTTTTGCATCCAAACTTGGCCTTCCACTCAAAATTTGCTTTTGATCAAAGAAGATGACATGAATTAGATAACTTAAATGGCATTTTGAGATTTAAACCACTTAAAAACTCCAAGAATTGAGAAAGTTATGACCTTGTGGAGTTGGTGAAAATCCATGAAATGACCTATAATATTTTGAACACTCAAGGTGTCTTCCATCTATTTTCAAGCTTAACACAAAGAAGAGGGTTAAAGTTCAAATCCTTAAGATCATTATGGAAAAATAATGAGCTCAAGGTGATAAAAATTTGACCAAGTTATGATCATTTGAATCAAAACTAAAGATTCAAAAACTTTTCTAAAGGACTTGTAATCTTTTTCAAACTTAAATGGTCATCCATGCCAAATTATCCTTATATCCTTGAAGAAAACTTGTTAAGGAACCTTTAAAGAGAAACACAACTTTGGAATCAATCAAAAATCTCAAAAAATGAGCAAGATATAATCCTTGGAAGTCAGTACGCCCCTAGCTCAAAAAACGTCAAAATAACTTAGAACCCCTTTCAACCTTTGATGATTTTCCTTGCATAATTGGATCTTGTCATGTGGAGAGAAATTGTTGTATATGATGATAAGAATCCATAGCAAAAAGAATCAACTCATAAAATATTCGAAATACCCTTTTAACCAATGAAAAAAATCAGAATCACGGTATCAGAAACTTCACTATGATGCTCATTGTTAACGTAACATCAAATTTTGTTTCCATTCGAAATGTACCCTAATAACATTATGTCACGTGGCCCAACAAATTAATATGATATATTAAATACAATCCTATTAAAATTTACAATAATCTAATTTCAAACAATTTTTTTCAACAATTAACACAAAAATCGGAGGAAGTAAAATACTGTTTTGTCCTTTTCCTGGTATTCTTTGGCGTGTTGGAAAATAGAAAGAAAAAAAATCCCAAAAGTTGTTGGAATAAAGAAAGTATTGCATGTTAGACGGAACATGCTTTAAAAAAAAAACCTGCCTTCGCTGCTAAGCATTAATTTTTGTCATTTTTCAATGCATTCAAATCTCAAAAGTAAAACTCATCATGAAAACTAAATGCATTTATAGGTGCTTTTCTCATAGTATATATTTTCACCATACCCTCAATATGACTCAAATGTTAAGGACAAATCAAAATGCAAAGCAAAAAAGATAAAAACCACAAGAGAGTGTACACATAAGGCAACTTCATTAAATAAAATTCTTTGTTGAGAATCTAATCTAAATGAAAAGCAAAAAAGTGCTCTCACACTTTAATTCACACTTTCTTTTTGTCTCCACAAGCAATTCTCTAGTGACTTTTCCACCAAAAAAAAATAAAACAAAGAAACCATTTAAATGTTTGATCAACAACATTATTGTCATAACATCTTAAAACAATGGCATTCAGAAGCAATGAGATGCTACTAAGCATGTTCTTTGTTGTATTGTCTCTTTGGGGTGTGACAATGGCACAAACTGACTCAAGTTGCACCAATGTGTTCATAAGTCTTTCTCCATGCCTTGACTACATCACAGAACAAACTTCCACTCCTTCCTCTACTTGCTGCTCACAGCTTGCTTCTGTTATGGGGTCACAACCACAGTGTCTATGCGAGGTTGTTAATGGCGGTGCTGCTTCGTCTATTGCTGCTAGTTTTAACATCAATCAAACTCGCGCTTTAGCACTTCCAACTGCTTGTAATATCCAAACACCTCCTATCAACACTTGCACCGGTACAGGTTATTAAATATATTTGTCTCTATCTGTAGTTTAGAATGTATGTTAGAATGTAGAAAACTTAATTCCTTATTGTGATTTCAGGATCAATTTCTTCTTCGTCTCCTCCGGCAGGTATTTCTGTTTCCAACATTCCGAATTCTCCTTCAGGTATCAAATTAAAAACGAATTCTTAAAATTGAACAAAAAATTTTTTGATGAATAAATGTAATCAATTTGATGCTTTTTTGTTATAGGGAGTTTTTCATCAACTACCGGAAGCAGTGGAAGTATTCGTGGCTCGTCGGTATCTTATAGAACATCATCAAGTTCTGGAAAATTACAATGTTCTTTGTTTGTTCTGGTTATCTTTGCAAAGTTCACATTCATATTCATGACCACTACTTAGGTTGCGTTTTGCATGTTTTTGTAAACCTTATTAGTATTGTCTAAATTTTACTTACTTTTAGCACACCCTTTGTTTTTCTCCCTAACACATTAACCAAGTCATGTGATAAAAGTCACACTAATTATGTAATTAGAAATCAAAAAAACATGTAGGCTTGAAATCAATTCAAAGGTTAGCAGCTTTACAAAACTCAATGGCTGGCCTATGTTATCTCATTAGTAAAATCATAAAACTTCTTCATGTTAGACCACAACCAACATGTGAAACAAGAAATTAATAAGCACAACACATAGGTATGTTTTAGTTTTTTCCTAAAATTAATTTTTATAGTGTTACAATTTTTTTGAAAAAAAAAAACTCAAATAAAAAATTAGTTTAAATATTTATTTTAAAAAATTATATCCTTTTACTATAATTTTTTTAATATAAAATTTTTAAAAAATTCACTTAAAATAGCTTTCTAAAAAATTCTTAAATAGACACAAACATAATAGTAATTTTACACGCAATCAATCACAACTTTATTATTAATTAAAAATAAATATAAAATTTTCTCTCTCATTCCTTATCACTACTATCTCATAAATCCAATTAAAAGATAAAAGTTAAATTTTAAAAAAATTTAAAATTTTCTCTATTTTTATTAGATATTTCTAAGAATATATAGATTAAAGTGTGTTTCCGTGTAAGTATTTCTCTAACTTTCTATAAAAAAAAAATTTAAATATATTTTTCTGAAAAAATTGAGATATTAATTATGTTTTAATCTTTAATAATGTATTTTCATGTTATGGTTGTTAAAATTATTTTTTCTATTTAAAAAGCGAATTTAAGAAAATTTATAATATTTTAAAAATAGTTTTATAAAAGTATTTTTAAAAATAAAAAATTCATTTTTAAAGATAAAATAAGTGGACTCATAATCATGTTTAAAAAGAATAAAGATTTTCTCTATTTTTTAAAAGAAATGAAGATGTTTATTACTATAGTTTTAATGTATAAATATGTAATTAATATCACAATTTTTAAAAACATAAATTTATCTTTTATTTACACTAAAATTATAATAATTAACACTTCTATTTTTTTTTAAAAATGGAGAAGATCTTTACTCTTTTAAAAATGATATATAATTTGTGAAATGACATTAAGGAGACAAAAAAGAGAAAGCAATCCAATCCAAGAAAATTCTTAACCAATCAACTTTTACAAGATCCACCATTTAGAGAACTTTTTTTTACAAACCATAGCCACCTTTTAGGTTTTGTTTAACTTGATTGACGAGATATTTTTTGTTTTCAAAATACATAAGTTTTTTTTTTTGGTTACATGAGGGGTCGATGGCTCGAAAGAAAAGAACTACAACTGAATCAAATGGGGAAGATGAACATCCGTTAAATCACTATCGAAGACACCCTTCACAAAGGCAGGGCATTCCTTAAAAAGAATAAAACTTATGTTTTTGCTTAATGTCATTTTACGCAAGTGCATCAACACAAGAGTTAGCCTCCCTATAAACGTGTTTAATAGAAATTTCAACATCTTGATGGAAGAAACTTTGAATCTTGCCTAAGAGATTTTTGCCCATATTTGTGTTCGAAGCACTGATGATGTCCTTCACCACTTGTTGGGAATCTGACTCGATAATAATATGCTTGAAGCTCATATTGGTACCAAGAAGTAACCCTTAATACACTTCTCATAGCTCAACAATATACACACTACAGATGTCAATATTTTTTGAAAATCCTCCTAGTCATTCTCCATCAACACCTCTAATGATATCTCCACAGCCAGCATTCCTATCCTTGGTCTTGGCTCCATCAATATTGATTTTAACCGAGTTACTCAAGAGAGCTTCCCACTTGACCAATCTCACATCCATGTTAGGCGTAACAGTAAATGCTGCCGTAAACTTAGCTTCCTCATAATTGTTGATTTGCTTCATTACATAGCCATAAGCTTCCACATGCATGTTGAAGTTATCATTGTGCGCCTCCTTATTGTGCCAATACCATAGATTGTAGCAAGCATTGGCCCAAATTTTTTGCCAGTCAAGTTCCTTGTTCCATCCCAGATGGTTCACCATATTAAGATGAATCCAATCAGTGATATTACCTACATAAAATAACACACCATTGTTAGTTAAAATCGTTGATCTCCACAGCTTGATGGCTCTAGGGCAATCACAGAGAACATGAAGAGTGTCCTCTTCCATATTTCCACAACTTCTACACATGGAACTACCCAGACCCATGCGAGCTTTCTTTTGGTTTGTTAGCAGACCATCATGCTGCATCATCCAGACAAATTAACGAACTCTTTCTATGGCTTCCATCTTCCAAATATTCCTCCAACTGATGTTGTCCTTCACAACCTCATCCTGAGACATAATTTTTTACATACCACTGTTCTAACCGATTTTAAAATTGAGAGTCGCCACCCTTAATTTTTATCCTAAGGAAGGGAATATAAACGTTAACCCTAATTTGGACAGAGATTATAAGTTGTTGGACTCGTTCTTACGCGAAGGGAAGGTGTTAGGCACCCCTCATCTACCTTGTTCACAATGATATTAGGGTTTAGAATTACGGCTTAGGAAATAGGGTAATAATTTTATTAGGGGAACTCGCCACGATTTTAGTCGTATGCCTGCGTAAGCTCTTATGAGGAATCAAAGTCCCAATTCATAGTTCACAATTAATTTGGCGTCTTTTATAGGATTACATAGAATTGCTTTCGAATTATCCTTGAACCTTGTCTGGGTTATAAGTTGAGTGATCGTAGACGCAGTTCGCAGTTAATTTTGAAAGTAATTCTCCTTAATCCTTTTTCAAAAATGTTCTTGAAGTTTTGATTATGTTAGTAGAAAATGGTTTGATCATTGGTTAGTTGTTTTGATGTTTGATTGGTAGTGAGTAGGGCATAGAGCGGGGGAAGTTTGATAAAGTCTTCCTCCTCACGTGGTCAGATATTGGCCAAGTGTCACTCGTCATGAAGGATACGGAGGGAGTCCGATAAAGTCTTCCTTATCACATGGCTAGATGTTGGCCACGCGTCGCTTGCGGATGTAATAATTTGTGAGTTGCGTGAGTTTTAATGTCATTATAGAACATTAATTAATTAAACTAAATTTTTTAAATTAATTTGACTTTCAAAAATTTGACTTTTGTTATTTATCAATTATTCGGAGAAATTGGTATATGCATGAGCGAATTAACCTGATTTGAACATATTTTTAAGTTTTAGTAAGCAAACTTAGATTAAGGGAAACTAATAAAATTAAACTTGGGTAATTAACATAGTCAATAAACTAAATTAACTAACTAACTTAAATAAGTAGTCTAGAGGGTGCTGATAGAAAATCGGAGGTGTAGAGTTAACAAAAAGGAAAAATACAAAAGCCTAAACCACATTTCGTCTCTGTCTCTCTCTTCATACATATTCTCTTTCATTTTTTCAGAAAAGGCAAACGAGTTTCACACTGTGGTTATATAACAACAACACTTCACAACCAAAATCAAATGAGAGCATGGAATAGAGTACCGGTGGCGAGATCTGAAACAAAGGGAAGCGCCATCAACGGTGTGGATGGAATTATGGCGGTTCACAGAGAAGGCTGCTAGTGTCACGAGAATGGCGACATGGTTGATGTTTCTCCGGCAACGTGCGAGCGGGCTGAGGGCGGAGGGTATCGAAGGTTGCAGCGTTTCTGTGGCTTTCAAAGGTTGAGGCGGCCGATTAAAGGATGCTTTGACGGTTCCGATGTGGGGCTTTCACGGAGGGTCGCGGTTGAACAGTAGTAGATGGTGGATCGGCGATTGACGCGGTGTTGGAGGTTTAAACGATGATGAACCAAGAAACTCAAGGGAGTCGGCATCTTCCATTTCGTTAAAAAGAGGATGATAATTTCTCATGACGGATTGATAGCTTAACTCAGAACTACCCATGATAAATATATGAATAATGAAACACAAATTCCCTTCACATGTGAATACTAGGGAGTAGGTGTTCTACTCCAAAAATTTTCCTTTCATTTTCTTCAAAACATTCAAGTCTCTTCAAATGGTCAAGGCACCCAAGGGTCGACTAGTCAAGATGCACCAAAAGTCCACAATTAGGGTTTAGAGTTTCTCAAAGAAATTTGGTCTGAAAAAGTATCAAGTGGCTCTCATGTTTCTTCATAGGTCGGCTCATGTCAAGTTTTAATCCCTACATCACAAGTTTGCTCAGTCAATGACTCAAATGCTTGAAAATCAACTATATTGATCAAAAAGTCAATTATGGTCAACATACAGTCAAACTTCAAGATTTTTGATCAACATCAACATCAATATTTTGAAGTGATATTCATCATTTGATCAAAGGTCGATCATGATTCCCCAAGGAAAGTCCTCAGATCATCAAAAGTCAAGAATTAACAAATTAGGGTTTTCCTTAAGAGAAGTCAACTGAACTTTGACCAAGCATAACTTTCACATGCTTCTTCAACTTTTTCCCAACAAAAGCCTATTTTTAAGAAAATCCAATTCTCTACAACTTTGTTTTTATTCTCAAGTCCAAAAGATGCTTCATTTGGAAGATATGATCTCATACATTATAGGTCATTTTCAAAAAGTCAACAAAAGACACTTTTTGTCAAGGAAACTTACATCAAGATAATATCTCCAAATGTAAAAATGATTAAAATAGAAAGTATATAGGACATCTTAGGCTTTCTAAAAAGTCAAAGATCATCTAAAAAGGTGAAAATTGAGCAAGTTATGAGTTGCACAAGTTGGGGAAATTTGAAGGAATTCATGAACTTCAAGTTGGGCAATTTTGAACTTTTAGACCAATGGACCTAATTTTTTAGACTCATACATGTTCGTGATATGTTAGAGGACCCCTAAAACTATTCCCTTATTTTTCATGATTTTTATTTATTTTATTTGAATTTTTTTCATTTAAAACAAATTAAATCAAGAACAAAGTGTAAAGCAAATGGGCTTAGGCGTATG